CAGTGAGACAGAGAGCATGGTGCATACCAGGAGATATTCTAACTATAATAAAGTGCCCTTGCTTGAGTACTTTTTAAACTCCTACTATCCAAAGTCATCTAATCCAATTAAAAGAGCTACCCCACCCACCCTTGTAGCAGGATTGAACCCTGGGGTACTTAACCACTGAGCCACATTCCTAGCCCTTTTTAAAAAATGTTTTATTTATTTACTTTTTAATAATTTCTTTTATTTTTATTTCTTTACTTTTTTATGGTACCAGGGATTGAACTCAGGGGCACTCAACCACTGAGCCACATCCCCAGCCCTATTTTGTATTTTATTTAGCCACAAGGTCTGATTAGTTCCTCCCTGTTGCTGAGGCTGGCTTTGAACCTTCTATCCTCCTGCCTCAGCTTCCCAAGGATTATAGATAGGATTATAGATGTGCACTACCACACCCGGCTTTATGTTTTGAGACAGGGTCTTGCTAAATTGCGTATGCCTGCAATCCTCCTGTCCCAGCCTCCCAAATCACTGGGATTACAGGCATGTGCTATCATGCCCAGCTACAAGAATCTTAACAGTTTCAAAATCTCCCCAAGTGATCTGAATGTTCAGTGAGGGTGGACAAAAACATATGGGCTCTAAAGGTCAGAAAACTTAGATTTAAATCCCAGTTTTGCCATTACTAGCTGTAACCTTGGACTAGTTAAATTTCCTAAACTTTATTTATTTATAGGTGTCCACTATGTGCCAAGCACAGTATCAGGTGTTGAGTAAGGATAATTATGACATCCCTTGTCATCTGGGAGTTTTTAATGGAAGATACAGGAACTACAGGAAGACACAGACAAGCACCTCAATCCTAATAGGGCTATGAAGGCATACAGGAAGCAAATTCAATTTAGAATGAAAGGATCAGCAAAATCTCTAAAAAGAGGACATTAAAGCCAAGTGCTGTAAAAAAAAAAAAAAAAGTAGTAGTAGTTAGATGAGGTTATTAAAGGAACAAAGGAGGAAATGTATATAACCTGGATATAACCAATTCAGCTTAGTTGATAAATAAAAGTAGTTCAGACCAGAACAGAAAGTAAGAATGAGGGAGGGAGGCCAGGGCAGTAGTGCACCCCTATATTCCTGCTGCCTCAGGAGGTTGAGCCAGGAGAATCTCAAGTTTGAGGCCAGCAATGACAACTCAGCAAGATCATGTCAAAAAGAGCCGGGGTGTGGTGTGCTCCCTCGAGCGTGCTCTCTCTCACTCTCTCTCTTTCTCATGCGCAGGGGGGCGTGGCGCTGTGAAATGTAGCTCAGTGGTAGTGCTCTGGGTCTGATTCTGTATTAGGGAGACAAGAGTTGAGGATCTATATGAATGAGACCTCAGCTTCTACATCTGCAAAATAGGGATCTATCTACTCTGCTTGGTTACCTCAAAGACTGAATTATATATAGAGAGAGAATGTGCAAAAGAATGTAAATGTACAGTGCCTTGCATATAACAGGTACTCAAATGATAAGACACTTCCACTTGGCTTTATGCAGAAAAAAAAAAAAAAAAAAGCTTACCTTTTATTATAAGCATCACTAGCAAACTGTTAACACACTCATCAGAGCACAAGTTTAATAAGTAAGCTCTTCTTTAGCAATTTTTCCTGGGTGTACCTTAACCTGCTATGTCAACTCCTAAGTCTCAGGGTGCCAACACTGATTTTGCTTTCAAAAAGTTTCAGACAGTTCAAAGTGCCTCAACATAAGGCTGTAGATACAGGGCTGGGGATGTGGCTCAAGTGGTAGCGCGCTCGCCTGGCATGCGTGGGGCCCGGGTTCAATCCTCAGCACCACATACAAACAAAGATGTTGTGTCCGCCGAAAACTAAAAAATAAATATTAAAATTTTTTAAAAAATAAGGCTGTAGATACAAATGCTTTAAAAATATTTGATTTTTTATTAAATAAACAGCAGCTATGGACCACTTCTGAACCAAAACCAGAATACTTCAATTTAATCCTGGCTTTTGCACTAACTAGGTAAGTTACTCTAGGTAAGACAACCTTTTGTGCCTTGGTTCTTTTCTGTTATACTGAACAGTATAGAACAGAACCCTTAATAACTCAAAATAAGAGGCTAGGTGGGCATGATGGCATATGCCTGTAATCCCAGATCCTTGAGAGGCCGAGGCAGGAGGATCACAAGTTTAAGACCAGCCTCGGCAATTTAGCAAGACTCTCAAAATGGGGCTATAGCTCAGTGAAAGAGGACCACTGGGTTCAATCCCTAGTACTAGGAAAATGAATGAGTGAGTGAATAAATAAAAGAACAAGGCTACTTTTTTTTTTTGGTGGTGCTGGGGAGCAAAGCCAGGGCCTTATGCAAGGAGGCAAGCACTCTACCAAATGAGCTATATCCCTAGCTCAAGGCTACTTTTTAATTACCAATACCCACCCTATTTTTTTAAGGAATGTCTTGGGTTAGAACAGAATCTTCCCTATGAAAATTTTTATTCGAATGGGGATGTGGCTCAAGCGATAGCACGCTCGCCTGGCATGTGTGCGGCCCGGGTTCGATCCTCAGCACCACATACAAACAAAGATGTTATGTCGGCCGAAAACTAAAATATAAATATTAAAAAAAAAAATTCTCTCTCACTCTCTTTAAAAAAAATTTTTTTAATTCATTTTTACTATTTAGTCTTACACTTTAATATAGGTCAACATACTTTGTTTATATAGTGCTGAGAATTGAACCCCTGGTGCTCTGCCACTGAGCTACATGCCCAGCCCTTTTTATTCTCAAGCAGGGCCTCACTAAGTTGCCCAGGCTGGTCTTGAATTTTCATTCTCCTGCTTCAGCCTCCCAAGTTAATGGGATCACATGTGTGTACCCCCATGCCTGGCCTGAAGCTCAACTTGAAAAGACTATTTGTTTAATTACTAAACAAGATGGCTTCTTTTTATACACTTACCTCAAGAAAGACAGACTTCCAGGCAGGCCTGGTGGCACTCGCCTGTAATCCCAGCAATTTAGGAGGCTGAGGCAGGAGGATAGCAAGTTCAAAGCCAGCCTCAGCAACTTAGTTAGGCCCTAAAGAACTTAGAGTGGCCCTAAACAACTTAGTGTCTCAAAATAAAAAATAAAGAGGGCTGGGGACGTGGCTCAGCAATTAAGTAACCCTGGATTCAATCCCCGGTACCAAAAAAAGAAAAAAAGAAAGGTATACTTCCATACCAAGTAGGTTTCTTCTTCTTCTTTTTTTATGGTGCGGGTGCGTGTGCGTGTGCGTAAGTGCTGGGAATTGTATCCTGGGCCTTGCACATGCTTTGCAAGCACTCTGCTGTTCAGCTACAACCTCAGCTATTTTCTATTTTGAGACAGGGTCTCGTTATGTTATCTAGGCTGGTGTTGAACTTTCGAGATCCTTCTGTCTCAGTGTCTGGAATAGCTGGGATTACAGGTGTGCATCACCACACCTGGCTCCAAGTAGGTTTCATGGAAAGAAAATTTTAGTAACTGAACTGAATATTAACATACAGAAAATTTAAATGGATCACTGGCCTTAAGCTCAAAATATATTAGTATTTACAAAGAGCTAGCCTTTGAATGGGTACTATGTGCTAGTCACCGTGCTATAAAGGGTTTTATGTTTATTATCTCATTTAGTCCTAGGAGGCAGGTACTATTATTATCAAATCTATTTCATAAAAGGGGAAGTGGAGCTTTAATTCTGTACTTTGCCCTGCTAGTCAGTGAGAAATCTATTCTCTGAATTCAAGACTATCTCAAAGCTCAAGAGGACTTTTACCTCCACTCCTGCTTGAAATTGTTGTCTCCAGATACAACAGTATATCTTAATTTAAAATCCCCAGAAAATTGAAATTATAGCACAAACTTCATAAACAGTGACTATATCTCTCTTTCAGCCTTCTCTTTAATATGCCAAAATAATTCTAGACCCTGAGCTTTCCTAAACCTTTAATCATTTATGGTGCGCTCTGCTGTACCTACCCATTAGAACAATTTAAAAAAACATTAACACAGTGCCAATTATTTTCAAAAGCCCAGAGATACTAATCAAGTGATCCTAATAGTCTTAAACACTATTCTCAAACCAAAAAAGATAAATGGAGATTGGGAAACTTGCATTCTAAAGTGCCACCATCCAGATAAAATTACCCTGTGAATTAGAGTAATTTCAATCAGATCCTGTAAAAATTGAACATTTTTCTCAAGACCAGAATTACAGAGTAACTCTAAGATAGCTCAAGGGCCCAAACTCTGAAGAATAAAATGGTTTTCCACGTGGCAAATTCAATAGCAAAAGGCGGGCAGTAGGAACTAGGGAAAACAGCAATAGTTTTAAAAAAAGCAGCAATAAATAAAATTACAAAATGATTAACCTATTCAACTCATGGCCATTCTACCTTAATACAAGACTATAATTACTCTCAAAAATCACATGCTGCTTAAGTAAGGCCTCATGTCTTACTACATGGTGCCCTCAGTTTTAAGTTAACATATTACATACTAAGAAAAACTCACATTTCATAAGCATTAAAAACTCAATTTTTTTTTTGGGGGGGTGCGTATATTTATGACAGTCATTATCATGCAAACTAGTTTACATAAACATAAAATACCAGAGTAAGTGTATAATTTGTTAATTCTCTAACTCACTAGTGAGTCTCAGAATTGTTTTCTAAACCATAAGAATGGCCACACTTATAAACAATTTATATTTGTCATATCAACTATTTGGTAATAAGATACCAGATATATTTAAAAAGAGAGGAGTATGCTGGTCCTGGTGGTGCATGCCTGTGATCCCAGCAAATCAGGAGGCTGAGGCAGGAGGGTTGCCAAAATACAGAGCCAGCCTAAGCAACTTAGCAAGACCCTGTCTCTAAATAAAAAGGGCTGGAAATGTGGCTCAGTGGTTAAGTACTCCTGGGTTCAATCCCAGGTACTAAAAAAAGAGAGAGGGGATTAAATTATCATACTAGAATCTATTTAATAATGCACTTACCAAGATAAACACAAAGTTATTACTTGAAGGAAGTGTAGGCAGGAGATTCCAACTCAATTGTGTGACAGGAAGTATTAGCTATGAAGTTTAGAAACAGGAATACCAAGTTTTGTTTTAGCTCAAGAAAAAAAAAAGGAAAATGTGCTAGTGAATAAAGGCAAAAGAGGAAGTTCTTTTTAGAGAACCATCTGCCATATTATAAAAACAATGCAAAATTATTTCTAAAGTTAAAAAAATACTCACTTTTTCACTGGGTTTATTTTCAACTATTTCTCTGGGTATACTGGAGCTCGAATTTTTCGGTTTCCCTTAACAAGATAGCTTATGGTTCATACTTTACATTCACAAAGAGATAAGGAGGGTTTGTAACATTCAACCATTAGTTCATATCTTTTTGCTAAAGTTTGATGATTAAGTTTTTTTCAACACTAACAGCATAATAATCATTTTTTAAAAGAGCCTAAGTTTCACAATGTGAATATCTCAACACTAAAGAACTGGGTACTTAAAAATGGTTAGGATGATAAATTTTATGTTGTATATTTAACACACAATAAGTTGCAGATGTTAATAAGAAATTACTCCACTTAAATTTAAATAATTTGTTATACAAATTTTGGTTAATCTAATACCACAATCATTTTATGCTTAATGTTAAATAATTTGTTGTTGTCTTTAACAGCTGAATTAGTGTAATGTAATTAATTTTTAAACACACTTCTACACATGGGCAATATCTTTAATCCTGAACCAGAGTGAAATTGAAGCGTTATTCTCAATGAACATCTTTCAAATCATCTGAATTACTTTTCCCAACAAGTACTAGTTATGAAATTATGAGAGTGTGTTTCTACTTCAATTGATTCCTTCATTCAGTTAAGTGCAAATCTTGAAATTAAGAGCGCAAGATCCCTAAATGAACAGGCTTTTCTTAAAGCAGTTGTGCTTTGGTCATGAGGTAGGCGACATTTCTCACACCTCAGCCTTTAGCAAGATTGACAGCCAAGAATGCTAGTCAACCATTTCCAATCACTGTTCACGCCTGGCTCAGTCCTATTAAAAATTTGTCAGGTTTTTGTGAAGTATCATCAAGTTCTCCTAGGAGTGTGCAACCTAGGTTATTATGGTTGCTTGAGGCGGCCCTGGAACAACCAGCTTGACTTGGTCATCTCTGGGAAGTCTCCAGGAAAACGAAAGGAAACGCTTCAACTTTGCGCAAACCCCTTTCTTAGTCACACCTAACTCCCTTCCCAGTGAAGGACTGTGTTCTGGAAAGATCTACCCCTTTCCAACTCAAATGTCACTCCCAGATCAGCTGCTAGAGGGGCAAGCAGAGCTCAACCCACTCCCTCTTCTTCGAGCACCTTCTCGAGTGCCGCAGCCCGCCTACAACCTATACAACCGGGGCCCGGGCTTACGACCCCAGCCCACACGCAAGGCTACCACTGCGTCTCCCGGGGGTCTTGGCCTGGGCGGCAGTGGCCAGCCCAGGGGATCCGCTCCTGATCCAGAGGGGGCGACCAGAGCGGGTGTGAGGGGTCTCCTGGCTGAGCCGAAAGATGGTCTCACCTTGACCCTGATTTCGTAGGTGGTAAAGCGGCCCCGGCCGACCCCCACGGTCTGCGGGTTGCTCACATCGATCTCGAGGAAGTTGCTGGGCGGCCCGTAGGCGTCATTCAGATTCTGCGGCTTGGTGATCAGCCGCCGGGTGTCCGCCACGGTCTCCGCCATTTCGCTGTAGCCGCAGCCGCCGCGGGCTCCCTCCGCCCACTCCGCGTTCCACAGACGCCGCCGCTGCCGCCCGCCGCGGGGACACGGGGCTCGCGCGCAGCGGTCGCGAAGCGAACGAGCACGTAGAACGGGCGTTCACCCCGCTCGCGAAGCTCCACCCCACGTCCCTCCAGCTTCCGCCTCTGTGCCTGGGAAAAAACAGCTGACCCGCCAGAACGCCGCGTCCCGGCCCGGGAAGCCCGGCTGAGGACCGGGAGGGGCACTGCCCGCAAGGGGTTGAGTACAAGCAGCGTCGCGGGACGTGTAGCTAGCGGGTTCAAAACGAACTACAGTGCCCACAATGCACCGGGCGAGCGCGCCGCCGGGAGGGGCCCGCATGCTGAAGGGCCAGACGCCCGGGGGCGGGAGCTTCCGGTTTCCCGGTGCCTGTCTGGACCGGGCGCGGGGGTCGCTGGGCGCCGGAAACGGTCTGAGCGGTCTTGGAGATTTGGGGGCAAAAGTTAAACCGCAAGGTAGGGGTGGTAGGACCGCAAATGTAAACAAAACATATCCAACCATGAGCTAACATTCCCACCACTCCACAATGAACCCCTGAAAATGCTTCTCTAGGTAGTTTTTAATGCCTCAGATAGTCTGGCCATGGGCCTGAGTTTCACCAGACCTGTGGCTAGATTGATAAACCGAAGGCAGTAAAAAGGGGGAGTAGAGTTTTTGAAAACTAGCAGAAGCAAAGCACGTCAAACCGGCGATATGTCTGCTCTCTAAAAGAAAATAAGATAGTGAACAAGTTGAAAGCTGCCTCGAGGATTCTTCTGGGTAACTGGCACTCTTTCGTTTCCCAGGAAGTCTCCTAAGTTTTGAAAGAAGTGGTAAATGTGTCTGCTACCATTGATATTTAGTTAAATAAGCCTTCATAAAAAAAATGGAAAAAAGATCCTAAAATGCAAGTTGTGAACGTTGAGATAGGATACATTTCAATCTCTACCTCAATAGTTCTTCTCTCAATGACTTCAACATTTTAAAAATAACAAACTTCAGTAACTCTGATCACTTTTATCTGTCCCTTAAGCAGAAAAAAAATTTCATAATAGCTATTTTTTTCTGGTGCTGGAGTTTGAACCCAGGGGTGCTCTACCACTAAGCTACATCCCTAGATCCTTTTTATTTCTTATTTTTTGAGACAGAGTCCCCATATGTTGCCCAGGCTGGCCTTGAATTTGTCCTTTTCCTGCCTCAGCTTTCCCAGTTTCTGGGATTGCAGGCATATGCCATTGCACCCAGCTATAGCAACCTTCTTGATAACACTAAGAAATGTTGGAATAAGAAAAAAAGTATTTAGGGGTTGGAGTTGTAGCTCCGTGGTAGAGCACTTGCCTTGCATGTGTGAGGCACTGGGTTCTATTCTCAGCACCGCATATAAATAAATAAAAAAAGATCAGGGCTGGGGATATAGCTCAGTTGAAGAACGCTTGTCTCTCATGCACAAGGCCCTGGGTTCAATCCCCAGCATCACACACACACACACACACACACACACACAATTACTTAAGCATGATGTAGATTATTTTCCAGAAAACTTAACAATTATTTGTTCGAAAAAGACCTACTGGTGTTCGAATTCTAGGTACTGGATATAAAAAGGTAAATAAGTCAATTACAATCTAGTATATAATCTCTCTTGGAGAATGAAAAATAAATTGATGAGTAATATACCTATCAGTATGCTTGGTGCTCTGAAGAAAGTAAAACTGGATAATGTGATAGTGACTGAGACAAACTTATAGGTAATGTGGTCAGAGAAACCATCTGTGAGTACATCTGTCTTTCAAGAAGGAAGAGTAATAAGAGAGTAAGTATGTGCTTGGGCTGTCTCCTGATGCAGGAGACCAGTTGGGAACTTAATTGGTATGATTACAGCAGTGAACTTAAGTGTGTATAAAAGACTCTTTGAGGGCTGGGGCTGCAGCTCAGTGCTAGAGTGCCTGCCTTGCACATGTGAGGTACTTGGTTCCATCCTCAGCACCACATAAAAATAAATAAATATTGTCTCCATCTACAACTAGAAAAAAAATATTTTTAAAAAAAATTTAAAAAAGACTCTTTGAAGTGAAGTATATGTGATCTAAGAGACCAGGAACCACCCCATTGTGTTGTCATTGATGGATGTATACTCATAGAAATCTAGTGTCTGGTTCTTTGAAGGCCCCTCTGGGCAGCATTGGCCAGCAGCAAGTATCTGCTGTGGAAAAACAACTGCAAAGGACTGCCAAAAGATAAGCTACTAGAATTAACAAGAGAATGTAGTAGCTGGATGAAAATAACAAATTAATAGCTTTCCTTTGTCTAGGGAATGTCTAATTGGGATAGAGATGGAAATTATCAAAAGCCAAGAAAAAAATACATGTATCCTATTCACAACAGCAACCAAAAGTATGATATCTAGAAAAGAAGGCACAGAATCTTATCAAAACACAACTGAAATTTTATTAAAGACATAAACCAGCTGGGCACAATGGTTCACACCTGTAGTTCCAGCAACTTGACAGGGTGTGAGGCAGGAGGATCACTTGAGCTCAGGAGTTGGAGACCATCCTGAGGAATACAGTAAGATCCTGTCTCAAAAAAAAAAATCTACAGGCCTGGGGTTGTGGCTCATCGGTAGAGTGCTCGCCTAGAGTGCAAGGGCCTGGGTTCTATCCTCAGCACCACATAAAAAATAAATAAAATAAAGGCATTGTGTCCAACTACAACTAAAAAATAAATAATATTTTAAAAAATCTACACAAAAAAGTTCATGTTCTGGTTAGGGAGGCATAACAAAAAATGTCATCCTAAATTAATAATTTAATCAATTAGAATCACAATATGATTGGTGATACCCTCCCCTTTGCCCAAGACAGGTGGATGGCCCTAGATAACACCTTTTAAAAGTTTGTATATTGAAGAAAATAAGATAATAAAAGTTTTTTAATGAGTGGAAACTTGTTTTACTAATTAGTAAAACTTACTAAAAAGCTACTATAAACCAAAGTATGGTTTGGGCTCATTATAAAATACAGAAACAAATCACAACAAAGAACATGATATTTAACAAAAGCCGCATTTCAATTAATTGGGAAAATGATGCTGGCACAGGTGAATATCCAGGGGCAACACAGAGCTAGTCCCCTATGTTTTACCATATATGAAAAAATTCCAGATAGAATTAAAGAAAATTTAAGAGAAAGTTGTATTATCTTGAGCTCAGGAAGGGTTTCCTAAACGCTGTTGGAAAAAAGCTATAAAGTCATTTAAGTACATACATTTTTAAAGAAAAAAACTATATAGCCAAAGGCATTATATAGTAAAAGTGAGAAATTCATATATAATATGTAGGATAGTAAAGCCTGATATTAAAAAAAAAAAAATCCCTGTCTGGGCATGGTGGTGCTCACCTGTAGTTCCAACTACTCAGGAGACTGAGGCAGGAGGATCACTTGAGCCCAGGAGTTAGAGACAAACCACGGCAACATAGGGAAACTGTCTCAAAAAATAAATTAGATAAACCCTATTATGCTCAAACTTACTAATTAAGTACATACACACTAAAATATCAAATTGGCAAAATATCCAAATGGTGAGAAACATGCAGTGTTTGAATACAGGAAAAGAGGCACTTATACTCTCATGACATGAATCGGAGTTATGACATATTTTGGGGAAAATAATTTGATAGTTTTTATTAAAGATTAGAATACTTACTATCAAAAGGAAAGAAAAATTGTTAATTTTGGGAAAATAAGTTAAATATTTAGAATACTTTGACCCCAAATTCCAACTCTTTCTATAAGAACTCATGATAGAAGCCAGGTGTGGTGGTACATGCCTTTAATCCCAGCTACTCCAGAGGGTGAGGCAGGAACATCAGAAATTTGAGGCCAGCTGGGTTCAGTGTTGCACATGTGTAATCCCAGGAGCCAAGGAGGTGAGGCAGGAGGATCACGAGTACAAAGCCAGTCTCAGCAAAAGTGAGGTGCTAAGCAACTTAGTGAGACCCAAAATAGCACTGGGGATGTGGCTCAGTGGTTGAGTGCCCCTGAGTTCAATCCCTAGCCCCCTCAATAAAAAAGTAAGTTTATGGCTAGTCAGGGACATTTAGTGAGATCCTGCCTCAAACAATAAAAAGGGCTGGAATGTAGCTCAGTGACAGAGCACTTGCCTAGCATATGCAAAGCCCGAGTTCAGTCCCCAGTGTTAAGAAAAAAAAGAAAGAAAAACTATGCTAAGTAAGGAAATAAATGCAGAAAAGTGTTTTGCATCTTTGTAATGGCTAAATCTGGAAACAGATTGAAGGCTCATCAATAAAATATGTTTGGGGCTGGGGTTGTGGGTCAGTGGTAGAGCAATTGCCTAGCATCATGAGACACTGGGTTCCATCCCCAGCACCACATAAAAATAAAAAAATAAAGGAATTGTGTCCATCTACAACTAAAAAATTTTTTTTAATAAGAAAATGTTTGAATTATAGTATAGTCAAACAGTGGTAAATGATATAATCAAGCAAATAAGTTAGTTCTGGCTTTATTTAGCAGAATATTAGAATGTCTTTTTTATAATTGGAATTGGAAGAGAATTATCCATATTAGTAAATGAAGATTACAAAATATTCTATCAACCATGATCCTTTTGTAGTGTGTGGCTGAGTGCTGTGCTGCTTTCCTGACACTCTGGAGACCTTGGGTTCTACTCCCAAATCACATAAACACAAGAAAAGGAGTGAGCAGGGGATGTAGCTCAGTGGTAGAGCTCTTTTCTACTGTGCCTGAGGCCCTCAGTTTGATCCCCAGTACTGTCAAAAAAAAAAAAAAAAAAAAAGCCACGCTCTCATTTGGGTAAACAAAGCCCTATCAATGTATATATGTCCATTTATATTCATACTTTTTTGTGTGTATGTGGTGCTGGGGATTGAGCCCAGGGCCTTATGTATCTGAGGCAAGTACTCTACATTCTAATTCATAAAAATTAGAATTTTGAAATATTTATAAATTAGCAAAATGCAACTGATTTTACTGTCTTTTATGCAGCACTCAGAGATTTATAATGTAACATGCATTTCTTTAAAAAGTTAACATAAAGATATTAAACAGTCAACTCAGAAAGCTAGGAAAAGAGCACGGAAGAAACAAATATAGAATAAGGGGCATAATAAAGATGTTGAAAAAAAGCAAGCAAGGAATTAAACAAATAAAAACCAACAGAGATGATCAAAACTAAAATCTGGTTCTTAGAGAAACTGAGTCATTGAGGTAAAATCTGCAAAGGCTGACCA